TGATCTGCAAAGCCACATGGCGTGAGAAATACCTCGCGTGCCCAATCGTCCCGCCCATGTAGTACAAGTTTGGATGATTATTCCGCTTGAACACGCCCTTGAGTTCCCCTTCGCTGTCGAGGCCCCAGAAATCGTCCACCCGGGACGCGACCTTCTTGCCGAATATGCGGGCCACGTCCGTGCGCATGTTGCCCACGAATCCTGTGCAGAAGATTATTACGGACGCGGGAATTTCGCTGCCGTCGCTGAAGGACAGGCCCGTGCGGGTGAAATGTGTGGGCAGGGCGTTGGATTGCATTTTAATCTGGGAAAGAAGGTCCAGGAGTGTTAGCTAAGGGACAAGCGGTGCGAGAGGGGTCTGTAAGGATTGAGTGATGCAAAGGAGGCAAGCTTACCAAACCCTTTGCGATCAATTCGGAACAACCCACGTCCATGTAATGTCCTATGGACATTGATTAGCTTAACATGTTTTTGATGGAGTGTAATGTCTCGATGGTGCTCCGAGTTCGAGACCGTCTTGAGAATAGGACGGTGACTTACCACCTAACTTCTCACAGATATGCCACATGATATCGCCATATCTCTCGACTCTAAAACCAGCCCGTTCCAGCGCCTCGAACCGTTCAGGCTCTTTGGCTGCCATCCCATGCAGGGCTTTCCGACTCAGGAGCCTCGTCACCGCATACGGCATCTGCAAGTGCTGGTCAGCTTGCATCGTGGTGGGCATTGACCCCTGGCGAGAAAGAAACAAAGTCTCAACGTGGAAACATCCTTACCGAATACTGCGCTCTATCAGCATCGGCCGTTGGCACATCTGCGTTGTACGACCGATCGGAAATCACTTTGAAATATTCACACGGCAGCACGTACGTGCGGGAACGTTGGACCATGGTGATCTGTGAGAGCCCTGCTTCTACCATGTCCTCGGCGACATCGTGAGCCGTGTTTGCCGTGCCGACTACAATACCCGCCTTGCCGCGCCAGGGCTCGGCGGATTTGTAGTCGGCGGAATGGAGGACTGTGCCTTGGAAGATGTCGCGGCCAGGGTACTGCGGCATGATGGGAATCTGCCCCCCGCCACCGGTGGCCATTATGACGTGTCGACAGGTGAGGCTCTGGGTCGAACCATCTGAACGACGGATGTGCAATGTCCATACCCTGCGTTCTTCATCCCATGACCCCGACTCAAGAGTCGTGTTGAACCAGATGTGCTTGTCGATTCCAAATTTCTTAACCCAGTCTTTATATCCTCTCGCAAGGTCGTATTTTGTGAGGAATTCTTGATATGGTAGTGGAAATGTCCGGTCAAAGGGCAAGTGGTTGTATTCGCGAGCAGTGTGCAGCCTGGCGGAATCGTACCGTGTCATCCAGTTGTCGCCGATTTGAGCGTTCTTGTCGAGCACCACGTAGGAGACCCCTAGGGCTTGCAGCCGGCCTGCTGAGCCTAGGCCTGCTTGACCAGCTCCTATGACGCAACAATCGAAGTATCTGAGAGTGCTGTTGGCCCCGTTCGTCGCCATGTGGCTCCCATTGACGCCATTGATGCCGTCTGGTTGCAGTTTATTCCCGTTCACTCCGTCTGACATTGTTTGGACAACTGGAAGGATATCAACGTTCTCACACCCCTCTAATTGCTCGAGGATAGTTCTTATGAGCCAAATCCTCCAGTTTCCATCTTCTTCCAGAACCAGGGAAAGGACTCCTCTGCAAGCGGAAGCAGGGGTCCGTCGATTACGGAATGTGAAGGAGACATCCACCCATCCGATGTCCTTGTCCAGCCGTGTTGCCTTTGCCGATCCTTGGATGGGCACAAAATCACCAGCCTGTCTGGATGTGCATGTCTCAGTCCAGGCCTTCAAGATTGAGTCGGCCGAGTAGAATGTTCGCATAGTGCCCGTCAGGGCGAAGACATCCCGCCATATTGATGTTGAAGAGAGCTTTGCTGTCGTAAGATTTCCCAGCGATTGTATTAGCGGAGGGGCAATACTTTCAAAATCAATATCGTTGTCAAATTGCGATATGGGTAAACTGCATGGGAGCGTCTCTAATACACTTCGTGGTTCGTATGGAGCGATATTCGACTCGATGCCTAAGTCGCTCATTGCAGCTTTGCGGGCAAGCGTTTATGCTTCGGAGATCGTGTCAAGGATATCGAAAGTTCCAGGGCCTTCGCTTTATTCCAATGGGCTCTAATCTTCGACAAGCAAAGAAAGACAATCAGTTCAATATCAAGTCAACTTCAAGTGTCTCTGAAAAGCAAGGACTTAGCCAGCTTACTTTTCGTTGCGGGGATGTCTGAAGATGAATATATATCGAATCTGGCCGGGTGTTGATCATATTGCCGTAACGCCGTCTGGGAGGTCGAGATTCTGGTGAATAAGTGGATTGTATGGAGGTGGCCTCAGAACCACAACTGCCGACCTAGGACCCTGATGTGGTGGAGTTGGAGTTATGGACGCATTGTACATTCTGGGGTTGAGGGATGGGTACATGTGGAGTCATGCAATGAATCTGGCCACCCTACATAACGGCCCTGCTTATCTTGGGTAAGCGTAACTCGGAAGCCTTTGCGCGGCTGAAAGTGAATCCAAGGCCGGAACAGTCAAGACATGTCGGGGCAAAGGCAGTTCAGAGGATGGGCTGAGAGGCAGATGCAGATGTATATGTACGTTGGAACTCATGAGGAAATCTTAAAGGTATGCATAGACCGAAATGTTCACCGCGTTTGACGCGGTTGCCGCTCCAAATCAGTCGTCCATCAAGCAACATGATCCCCAACCATTGAACCGTTAGCTTGCACGCGCGGTTGATCCCCATTAGCTTGAGATTCCTTGATCTTGACATGCTCGGTATCGACTGGTATTGTCAGCGACTTCTGCGGCTTCATGCCCAGCAGATTTGTGGCATCGATCAAGCGAGCATTGGGATTCAATTCAAGCCCAAATCCTGGCCTATCCAATACACTAACGTCCAAGAAACCCTCTGTGGGAATCGGCTCGTTCAGGAAGAGGTCCCCAAAGACGGGTAGAACGCTCTGCCCATCAGGGCTATTTGCTAGATATTCTTGGAAGGGAGAGTTATGTTGGCTGACAACGAAATGGTAGGAATAAGGGCCGGAGGCATGCGGGATTACTGGGATGTCGTACGCCGCTGCCATCGAAGAAACTTTGAGAAGTTCCGTCAGGCCACCAAGCCACATCACGTCCGGTTGGATAATATCGACATTGCGGCCTTCGATAAGTTTGCGAAATCCATATCGTGAGTATTCGTGTTCCTAGGAATAGTTCAGTCATGGAAATGCGAGATGCTCATGAGTATGAGGGGTGACTCACCCCTGTCGTGAACTTGGTGTCTGGATGTGCCCTCTTCAACAGTTGGAACCCATCAAAGTCGTCTGGCGACAGTACCTCCTCCCACCAATCTATTCGGATATCCTGCCTCTTGGCCTCGGACACGAGCTCAATGGTGTAGGGAACATTCAAGGACATCCAGCAATCGACTCTCAAAGGGAAGTCTGGGCCGACTGCTTCCCTTTGCTTCTTCAAATATGCGATGTTCTTTTTGAGGCTATCTGGCTCGTCGGCGCTGTAGGGCAGGGGCACCTTACCAGCAATAAAGCCCATTTCTTTTGCAGCTGCGGGCTCAGGACCAGTGCAATAGAAGTGAAGTCTGTCTCTGGTAGCACCACCGATCATTTTGTAGACTGGCTCGTTCCTGATCTTGCCCAAAAGATCCCACAGAGCCAGGTCAATTACAGAGATGACCGCTACGGGGAGACCCTTCCGTCCGTAGAACATGGAACCTTTGTACATGAGCTCGTACATATCGTTCACGTCTCGCGGATCTCGTCCCAGAAGGAATCGTTCGAAATGTTGTTGAACTAGCCAACAGCCAGGCGGTCCACCGAATCCCGTAGCGAAGCCTTTGGTGCCATCCGTGGCTTCGATCTCAACACAAAAGGAGCCAAGCACATTGATGCCAAAGGAGGTTCGAGAAGTTCGATATCGATCCCATTTGGACATGGGTGTCGCGATTTTGTTGTCGATCAGCCAGTGTCCGCCTTTGACATTGTGATAGTCGCCGCCGGAACCCACGCCGTCGACAACGAAGGTCCGAACGGCCTTGATGGTAGGAAAGGGCTTGACCCTCGACATTGGGGGGTGTCAATCTCTTTTGTTTTATTTCTCGAGTTAGGTATGGGAGATCGGGTTACGGAGGGTGATAATGCAGAGATAGTAGTAGAAGGTTTGAAGAGAGTAAAGCACAAAACGACGGCGGCAGACAATGCGCCATGACTGTCCCGGAGGGGTCAAAATGCACAAATAAGAGAAAATAGTCCAAAGTCGCCCGGAGGACTGGGTTTCGCTGATCGGTACAGCTTCAACCGGGCTCGGAGCAATGACGGACTTGCCCTGAGCGATGAGTCCTGAGATTTCAGCCGTGAGAGATTGAGTGGGTTGGGCACATGGGGATCAATGGACAATATCGCGTCTCCATGGGATTGCTCCATTAGCCGAATTGTGCCGGACCAGCAGCATCCGTGAGGATGATGAGCGGGATGAGGAAGATGAGATGGAAGACGCAGGGACGAAGATCGCAGGTAGATGGACTCCCCTTTCGGGCGTAGCGGGGTTGAGGATAATTCGATTCCGTCTGGCAAGGCATATCCCGCAGTTTTTCTTGGTACATCCTCTGTACGTCCTTTGGGACATGCCTGGGACATGAGAATACAGTACAAGCACATCAAGTCAGTCGGCGCCAGTAATTGTTTTTGTCAGACACAAATTTCCAATTCCTGGTGGCAAGGCGGTGGGGTGACTTTGGGAGACGGAGCAGTGCCAATGTTTGCTGACTTTGTGTTCCCCAGCTTTTCTTTCTGTCTTTGCTTCAACCTTTTTCTCCATCCTCGGCCTCTTCTCAACCGACTCTCGGCTTACGGGGCAATGCCGCCAGTGCCACACGGGCAAAAGAAAGCCAACAGCAACTGCTAGCAGATCATGATGAACGCGACGAAGCTCGAGCTCTATGACCATCATTCAGGAAGCAATGGCCACGTCCACGTCACGTCTACAGCCCTGGGCCCCATGGGCACCCTAGGGCCATCGTCCAACACCCCATCAGACTCTGACTCGGGCGTAGATGACGACCGAGATGGCTCCAAAAAGCGCAAGAGACCCATGAACGTCACGTACGTGCTGGCAATTCCCACTTTTGCTCCATTGCCTTTCCCTTTCCATTCCATCGTCCCATAGTCATGTGCATCCTCACTAATGCCCGAGCTTGACAGCTGCGAAGCCTGCAAGGTCCGTATGAATAAGCTCCTGGGTCAATTGCATTTACTTACCTGGTGGGAACAGCAGCGGAAAGTGAAATGTGACCGTGCCCAGCCTGCTTGCGGCTGGTGCTCTCGCAATGATCATCCTTGTGAATACAAAGAGCGGAAGAAGCCAGGCCTTCGAGCTGGTTATGGTAGGGAGCTCGAAGGCAGACTCGATCGCCTCGAAGCCCTGTTGAATGAACAAAGCCGCCAGTTGGCGGCCCATCTTGCAGAATCATGCACTATTGCCGCGGGAATCAACCCCGCTAGCAGTAGGCCCAGTGTGCAAGGCTTAGGTCCCGACGTTGCTCAGTCACGCTCCTCGTACGATGCGCAGGGTATTAATGTCGCTGGAGATCTCCAGCAACAGATCATCGACCCCAACTTGCATGCTTCTACCTCTCGACATGGTTCTCTACAGTATCAACAGGGAGCCCCAGACCAGCAAATGGCACAGCAGAGCCATTACACTCCATCCGCTCATTCACATGCACTCACCTCACCTCATTCCACGACAGGATATCAGGGTACCCAAATGTACAATGAGTACTCGGCCATGCTTCCTCCGTACGATCTCCTTTATGCTTTGGTGGACCTTTACTTCAAACACATCAACATATGGCTGCCTTTGTTGGATAGGAAGACCACCCTAGACACACTATTCGGAGCTTCGACCCTCGACGAAGCAGACAGGGTGCTTCTGCATGCCATTGTAGCAACCACTCTACGCTTCTCGCAGGACCCTCGGCTGACCCCTGAAGGTCGCCAGCACTACCATGATACCTCCAAGCAACGTGTCCAGTTGTTTGGATTGGAAAATTCGAATGTTCGAGCTCTCCAGGCACTCGTCATTCTGGCCTTAGATGTGACTGGGTCGACAAATGGTCCGCCGGCATGGAATCTTCTTGCATTAATCAGCAGAAGCATGGTACAACTGGGTCTTGCAGTGGAGTCCGGCTCTGCACTTGCCTCACCTATGTATCCCTCCATTGCAACTCTCAGGGCCTCTGTTCTGCCAGAGCCCAAATCATGGATCGAAGATGAAGAACGACGCAGGCTCTTCTGGGCCGTGTACCTGCTTGACCGATACGCGACCATTGCCACAGCATTCGAATTCGCGCTGGATGAGAAAGAGGTTGATCGCCGTCTGCCTTGCAGAGATGACCTCTTTGCAGCGAACAAGCCGGTCGAGACTAGGTGGTTCCGCCCCCCAGAGCGGCCTCGATATGCAACAGGCATGGCCGACACTCACGGGCATTTTTCCTGTCACTGCGAGCTCATGGCTATTCTGGGTCACATTCACCAATTCCTGAAACGGCCCGTGGACATTGGGTCGTTGACCGACGTGGAGCAGTGGCAGGGCTCGTACCGAGCCCTCGACAGCGATCTAAACGCGTGGCACTTTAGTCTGCCCGACGAGTTTGCCAACATCACTCGGCTTCTAAAATCCAATGTGCCGGCTAAAAATACAAACTGTGGCTGGATCATGCTGCATGCGGCGTATTGTCTAACGGTCATTCGCTTGAACTCGTCGGCGGCATACCCCAGCCAGAGTTCGCCCATCTTCTCCTCATCCTACAGTGCCATGCAGCGGTGCCTATCGGCCGTCGAGAACTTGCGTCAGCTCTGTCGCTTCGTTAAGCTCAGTGGCCTGCTGGACCGCTTCGGGCCCCCTTTTGCCTTCGCCATCTGGGTCGGGGCACGGGTCATGTTGGTGCACGGATCGACCATGGATCACGAAGTGGACCCAGACATTGACTTCTTCGTGACGACCCTCGCCGAGATGGGGGAGAATTGGCTAGTTGCTAAACGATACAGCGAGATTCTAAACCGGGTTCTAGGGGAATATCGACAGTCGCAGCGAGCTAGTGGAGTGACAGGGGAGAGAGTGACTCCGTCTACGGTGAAAATCCTCGCCGATATGCGCCGGTAAGACGGTTCTGAAACGTGATTGGATACAGGCTAAGTTCACTGAAACAGATGTGCCTACGATCTCGACTTTCTCATCTCTCGCCAGCCGCATGCTGCGGCCGTCAAATCATACCACCCGACCCGAGCAAACACCCCGGCCCCCAACGAACTCGAGTATCTCGATGTTTTTGACCTTTTCAACTTCCCTCGAGTCCCCACGACACAGGAGGGGGTAGAAAACGGAAACGCACAGGCCCTGGGCCAAGCTGCGCCCCCGGATCTCGCGGCGATGAACGCTGCCATGATTCCGAATTTTGCAGTCCCCAATCCGGAAGCTGATTGGCTCTTCCATACAAATTAATGCCATGATTTGGCGGAGAGGCACAAAGACTTGCTTGCGTATTCTCTGACGTACCCCTGATATGACCGGGTCTACCAAGCAAGGTTTGCACGCAAGGGACGTCCCCAAGGGCTTCCTCCGAGTTGGAGATTGGTCAGTGAAGTCAAGTCAGTTCCGCATTCATCTACATGATTTGGAATTCGGTTCCAAGCCCTAGAGCTAGCAGTAGCGGTGGTGGGAGGCAAACTGGAAGAACCTTTCGAGGTGCAAAACGTTCGGCAGCGAGGACTGATGATTCCCGAAAAAGGTGGGACGGGATCTTTGTTTGCTCTGCGACTGGAATAACAGCGGTGGACAGATGTGTGATAAGTGTCAGCAACGAACGGGGGGTGGCGGGGAGGGAAAGAACGTGACACTGCCCATAGTATTTTTGTCCCTATTGTTATGGTGAGGTTTGATCGAGTCAGCCTTACCCGATACCGGATCGGGTGAGAAAGGGAGTCCTAAGAAGGGGATAGGCTGGGTTCGGGCCAGAGCCCCAAAGCAACAAAAGTCTTGGTAATGAATCGGGGGGGGCATGCCTTGCGATATAATGTGATGGTATGGCCAAGTTATGTGTGACGTTAAAAATTCCAGTTGAAAGGTTCCCCGAAACCTGCAGATTACGAGCGGACCAACGAGACGAGAAGGCGGGGGTATGAGAAGCGACACCATGAGTAAACAGCAGTTGTAATATTTCTCAGCCCATGGGAGAGTGAGATGATGGGGGGAGGAGGATGAGGAAAGACAAAAGGATGAGAGAGGATGAGAGTGATGACACCGACTAACCTGTTCCTTTGTGCTGGGTCTTATTTTGTGGGTTCGCGCTGCCATTCGCTTCCACTTGCCTTTCGATTAAGTTTGTGAATACCTAACAAGGACTTGTTCAAGTACTCAAAGGACAAAGTAACAAGTACCAAGTACTACTGGTTCCTCGGTAGCATACGGAATGCTACTCCCGCACTACAAGTAGTTGCCGCGTAGTACTATCAAGTACTGGGTACTTGTTACATCCCCTTGCTTCTACCAAGTACGAGTAGTACGGAGAATTGCCACCTATCGGGCCTAGTACATTTGCTAATAACGTTCTCAATCCCGAACGGCCGAGGAGGTCAAGTGACATCACATGACCGTCTTTATTCTGTCCAGTGCTTGGTACAACTCTAATTCACTCCTCGGGCTTCACTTTTCTCCCTCTTCCGCCCGCCTGTCATCATGCCCTTGGGTCTTCCCATCAGAACATTGCCATTTTCTTATTCTTATCCTCTTTCTGTATCGCTCTGACTGAATTGCTGACCTGATTCTCTCCTCCCCCACCCCCAAATGTGGCGAAATGATGCCCCATGTCCCCTGTCCATTAGGTACGGTATCTTTTGCGAACAAGCCATGTCCACCATGTCCCCAAGACTCCCTCAGGGCTACGCAGGTACTTTGGCCCAAGTCCCTAAAAACCCACACCCCAGTCTTCCGCCCCTTCTTGCCCTGCCAATTCCCTCTCGCAAATGGCCTTCTGGTCTGTTCGGTGCTCCTGACTCAATGACTCCCTCGTCCATCGGTTTGGTTCCTAGTCTCCTTGGACTCTCATTCCTTCCATGGCCATTCAAGCTCCTTGGTCGTTGGGCCGGATGGGAGCTTCGGGCTGCTAACTACTGGTTAGACCCTCAGTCTTGGGTCGTGAACCACCTCTCAGCACCGCCCGCCCTACGCCCAATGTGTTCAAGCCTCTTTCAGCCTCAGACCCATTCCAATCATCAGTCAACCCAGATGCTGCAATCGAAAAAAACCCGCAACTTCGTGGGACCACCGCTTCGGCTTCGTTCGTGACAGGGTAGGTGACGACGTGAGTCCCGCTCCCTCGGCACGCGGATAACTGCTGTTTCCTGCATCGAACAAACGTTCCATCTCGTGTGCATAGTGATCGATCAACCACCACGTTTCGGACCCAAATTCCCTCGTTCCCAACTTCGCAAACAACACCTTACCGCCGTACTCAGCGTTGCCGTCACTGGGCTTAGTCCTCAAATCAGGCCGGATTCTTATTTGGTCGACATCGTTCACCTTGACCATTCTATTGGTACTGGTTCTATTCTCAAAACGTGGCCAACCGGGGTCTTGGTTGGTGCTTTGCTCTTCCTCTCAGAAATGCACCGTCCCTGTTCGTTCTGATTCCGACTACGCAGAATACTTCTCATCTTTGGAGTACTCATGTCTTTCGATCGTCCTATTGGACCAATTTTGGCCCTCGACACATGACTCCCATGGGTTGCTACTTTCCTATTTTCCCCGCCTAACCGCATCGGTCGAATGATTGGTTCCTTCCTAAGGCTACCGTTATGACTTCCCTGATATAAGACTCTGGAAACACCAGTTGCCTACTTCAACTCACCATTGTGTATTCAATCGTTCCTGCACATATTTCAAACCTACTCTTTTTTCCCCACTCAAGTGATTTTTCCCGCTACAGTTTTTTGGTCCTTTCGCAATCCTCTCCGTTGTACAAATACTGCTGAAGCTATTTCAAGACCAGAGCAAGCATGTGCTATCAGATCGTCGAAAGATACGCGGTGTGCCGCTGTCTATATCACAAGCATTCGGTTGACCCATGCCAACGATATGGTCAACGAGGTCATTCTACCACAGAGAAGACGGTTCTGGTCGGATTCGCCTGTCCAAATCACTCGGCCAAGAGGCGTCCAGATCACGCATCGTCGTCATCATCACCCCCCTCTGATTCTAAACCCTCGGGGGGTCGTCCATGGCACGATTCTGGTTACTCTAGCGGCGGCTATCATTCAACGTCCGGCCGCCGGTGAAACAATCGAGTCCTTCGACATTGAACCCATTCTCGCGAGCCAACTCCAAGAGCTATCTGAGGCATTTCCTCACTTGATGGGATCGGACACACAACAGAAACACGCCGTCCGGTATGCGGCCAGTTGGCAGAATCATCGACTCGGATGTCTACGTCATTCGCTTTTTATCTCCGTCGCAGGTCGACACAGATGACCCATCATATGTTGCTTTGATTTACAAAGGGCGCAGTGCATTTCTCAGCGCGCCCAAGGACTGCAAGTGGCTGAGCTTTCTGTTTGTGCTGAACTGGGACCGCAACTATGAGCCTCAAGCATCCACCCACGTGAGGCGCTCGTGGCAAAACGTCAACAGCGGCAAGCATGACAAATACTGGGAGCACCGAATGATGATGCGTTTCTCAGCAGCGGAAAGAGGCGCATTTCAGATGTCTGTTTGAGTATTCAACTCTGGGCACTCGACAATCCTCAGCTACGTTGACGCTCGACACACGTCACACTCCACTCATTTCTTCGAGGGTGCGAATTTCGAGTTAAGAGACCCGATCTCGCAATGGCATCAGGGCCGGAGTGTATGGGTGATGAGGCGCAGGCGCCTCCTAGTATGTACATCTTACCGGGTGAAAAGGAAAGGAAGGGCGCTATTTCCGGGTACTTTCCTGGAGATCTTTTGATCTGGTTACGGTGTTGGGGTTCCCCATATGCAGGGCATTAGGGAAGATTGCATGGGCGAAGCCACATTGATTACTACGAGCATGAGTCTACGACAGGAACGGCGGACTGGTATATTTTGGGATTGAGTCATCGATTTGATATATGTATTACTCTGCAGCTGGTGCTCTTAAGCGGAGGACCGGAGGGACTAGTTAGTATCACAGATGTCTGGAACATCTCTTGGCCGGGGATACCTTAACAGGCGCACAATCATCAGGCAACCAGAATCCACCGCAGTGCAGCATCTTTACTTTTAGATACTTCTGTCCTCTTGCCGGCTCGGGGGACAGGCAGCAGCAAGGCTTCCACTGTGTTGGGGTCTGTGTTTCGGCCTTAGCAGCGATGACAAAGTTTGTAGGCTTGGAATTTTTGATGCCTTTTGGCCCTGTGACGGATCTGATCTTCGAACCGCAGAGGCGCCGGGGACGAGGGCGCAACCGGGCTTCCGCAAGCCGCGAAATAGGCATTGATCATGTCGATTACTCCCGGAGCGGACCACATACGCTTCTGTCTGTGCTACTGCATGGGCATACGCAAGACACTAGATGACGCACATCGTGGCCGTCGTGGTCCAGGAAGTCGAGTCGACAATGTCATACCGAGTCGGAAACGATGCATAAAAGAGCAGGCCGCTTGGCGAGGTCCGTGCCACTCATGCTCTCTGGTCTCTCGAATCACTGGGCGCCCACGGCTCTTACTGTCAATCCCAATCCGCCGGATATTACTATTACTACAGTCTCGGACGGCGCTACCACTGGACAAGCAGAACTACTCCAGACAGAGAGTAATATCCGAAGTCACCACGATCGGGGCGCAAAAGTTGCGCTCAAAGTCTTCCGCAGCTTTTCCAATTCAAGAGCCAGCAGTTGGGGGCGGAAAATAGCGCCCAGCAAAGCCACAGCTCCCCTCATCTTCAGCCGCAATGATTCAATCTAGGCCAGGATACTGTTTTCCCGTCCTCGCTAAAGGAAGCAGGATTCGGTGGTACCTTGCACCGCGGTACTCAGGGATGCATGCACATTTGCTTGTACTGGAATGTTTCCAGACTAACTAGATCCCTCGGTTCTTGGGGGTATCCGATCCTTCTTGCTACCAACCGAGCAACCTTTCCAGGTAGTGGCTGTGGCTGAACATTATAGCCAGCATGAGCGAGATAGGATTTTGGCCGGCCAAGCGAAAATATCATCTCTAACGATGGCGAGAACGACTAGCCATCGACGGTCAGCAACTATACCTGCAAAGCACTGATCAAAAAGATCCGAGTCATGCGACTTTCGAGCATGTACACGCACCAATCTGGGGTCGCTACTGCTCCTCCTGCTGGAGGGCCTCGGAGTTATGTCATCGGTGTGCGCAAGAGCCATGGCAGGCCCAAAATCCTTCTACTGACGTGCTGCATCTTTCTGTGTTGTATGGTTTATGTCTGTCCAAGGGTCACTCTTCAATGGAGATGGCATACTCCTGCCTGTCCGCCCTCTGACCTTGGCTCGTCAGAAGACAACTTCAACGGGTCTTTCGAAAAAATTCCGGCACCTCCTCTCTCGGCCGTGCCCAAGCGCAGATGTGGATGCCAAAGTCCAACGGACGAGAAGACGCAAAGCTGATGCCACAGAGGCTGCGTGTTGCCGCTCTGCCCGCTGACCGACGATTGAACGTAAGCATATTGAGGCTGATGTGAAACCTCAAAGGTTTTCGTGATTTACGGACAGGAATGATGTTTGCCTGGCACAGTAGCCTTCACCGTTTTCGCGGAAGACGCGCACCAAAACGAGTTCACCCTTCGTGAGATTGACTGTCGGTTCGAGTTGTGGCAATTTAATCCCGCTAGGTATGCATGTGATTTTCCACCGCTTCTCAAGGTACGTTAAACCTTTTGGTGAGATAGACGCAGAACTTTGGGCCGACGGAAGAATTCAAGGATCGATATGTCCGGCGGTTTGGAAGGCAGTTATACTCACTCCTGCTTCTGCCGAAATGCGTTGGGCATCGAAAGGCGAGGGGGGTGTTGTCGATATCGTCTGATTTGATGGGACCCTGGGTTTGGATATGATCATTCCCTCTCTCTCTCTATCTCTAGATTTCTGCTCATTCTATTGTCTCGCAGCTCAAGAAACAAAAACAGGAGGTCTGGTTGACCTCTCTGCGATGGCGCCACCCTCCGAACGGCGGCAACAGCTTCTCAGAAGAACCAGCTGAGTGCCATTCAGGCAGAGAATGTCCTACCACAGCCACTGGCGTTGTGAAGTCCCGGATATCTTCATTCTCTTTGAAGCCCATAAATTTGCAAGCCGCGGAAACCAGAAATCTCTCTCCTCTCTGGTCGTTACTGACGCTGTGGACACGCGAGACACCATCTATTGCTCAATTTAAAGCGTATCACCCTCCCCTCGAGGCATCTACCCTCAATCGTCAGACCGTCCTAGCGATCTCGCATAGACTCCAGATCGGTGGTCGATCTTTTGGGTGCAGATTGGCCCCTTATGCTAGGGCTCATGGAATCCAGCCATCGCGTGGTCTATTACGACCCGTCGCAGCTGAACGCTCCTTTGAACAGGTTTTATGGGAAAGCCATTTGTCTATCCAGAAGCGTGTGGCCATCGCCTGCACAGTCAGTCAAAACGTGAGTCACATGGCGGTTAATATAAAGCATCAATTGCGGACTCGATGACACAACTTCCTATGCAAGCCCTGCTCTTCTGGACGCGGCGCATGCCTTTTCACCACGGCTCAGATAAAGCCTCCAGTTGGCGAGAGAAGTCCTGTGGAATATGCTGGAAAGGCTCGTCGCTGTTTGTGCCGCAGCGTAAGCTCTCTCGGAAGGCCCAAAAGAAACAGAGGGAGACGAGGGCAGAGATGACAGGAAGCACGCGCTTCGGTGTCGACGGTGCGATGTTCCCCCGAGAGAGCACCACGCATTCCTTCTCACTTAGTCCTACATAACACGTACTACTTCGTACATACTACATTCTATGCCCCTCGGGGGCCCCTCCCTTTCTCCTTTCGCCTGCAATCCCCCCGACGATGAACACCAACTAACTGGCCCGGGCAAATACTCGACGAAAGCGTTGCGCAAAGAAATAGTCCGCCATGCAGTCTGGGGATCGAAGACGAAAACATCAACGTCGCATTCTTGCCCGTTTGTGCTTCGGATGTGATCCGGCATTGCTGTGAGCAGTTGCCACGTCCACGCACATATACATATGTACCTAGGTATATACGCCTGCACATATATATACTCTGTACAGGGTGTGAGTGGGCCGTGGAGACACCATCGACAGCAGCAGCAGGTGTGATTTACAAGGCGCGAACTCTTGACCCATCCTCTAATTTTACAATACGTCTCGCCAGGTCTGAGGAGACTCCAGTGTCAATATATCTCGGGGGCTGTAGGTGCAACAGGACCTAACAAGGCTGCATAACACAAAACTACCACACTATAGATTACCGCAGCAAACTAAAGCATCCGATACCATACTATCTTATATCATACCACAAAACGAAGAGCAACAATGACGCTCCCACCCCTCCTCGCCGGGCAAGTCTGCGCAATAACCGGAGGACTCACGGGCATCGGACGAGCAATTGCCCTCCTCTTCCTTTCGCACGGCGCCAAAGTCGCGATCAACTATTTGCCGTCTCACAATCAAGACGAAGAGGGTCTGCTCACGTCGCTGCGTACCGAGGCATTTGACGCCATAAAATCACGGGCGCAATCGTCGTCGCTGATGAACCTCCAAGATGTGCCCCTGCTGACGGTCCCGGGAGATATCTCGCAGCCTGAGACAGGCCAGGAATTCGTCGCTCAGACAGTCTCCCGCTTCGGGCGGCTGGACACATTCGTCTCCAACGCGGGCATCTGCAAATTCGAAGAGTTCCTCGACATCTCCCCTGACAGCTTCCAGCGCCACCTCAACACGAACCTGTCTGGCGCCTTCTACGCCGTCCAAGCGGCGGCCCAGCAGATGGTCCGCCAGTCATTTCCACAGGGTGGGAGCATCATTGGGATCTCGTCCATCTCGGCGCTCGTCGGTGGTGCGCAGCAGTGCCACTACACGCCCACCAAGGCCGGCGTCTTGAGCCTCATGCAGTCCACCGCCACCGCGCTGGGCAAGTACAACATCCGCTGCAACGCCCTCCTCCCTGGCACGATCCGGACGCAGCTCAATGACGAGGACCTGAAGGACGCCAGCGACAAGAAGGCCTACATGGAGGGACGCATCCCTCTTGGACGCCTGGGGAAGCCTGATGACTTGGCCGGCCCCGCACTCTTTCTTGCCCAGCCTGAGTTGAGCGGCTATGTTACCGGAGCGGCCATCTTGGTGGATGGAGGCGCGTTTGTGAATTTCCAGTGATGTATGTTTCCATGTACATAGTACATATATACACACATTCACAAAGGACGTTAAAATTCATTGCCGGTCTTAAGATGTCGGTAGTATAATGCTGTATGCTTTAATAGCTGTGCCAGACCAGATTTGTGCCCTCTCGTCGGGTGTCAGATTCTGCGAAGTGAGAATCGCTTCCACCAGGGCGTGCCAATGGCTCCATGACTTGGCAATACCGGGACCGCCGACGTTACACACTGGCCAGTCCGAGCCGAACATTATCCTGGAGGGCCTAAAGGCCCTGAAGACGACGTCAACCCAGGGTTTCGTGCGTGCGACAAGAGCTGCGACGTCCGTCGGATCGGCCTCGTCCTGCTCCGGCAGTTCCGAGAAAAGGCCCGAAAGTTTCATGTAGGTCGACTGATGTCGGGCCATTTGCTCGATGCATTCTTTCCATCTCATGAAGTCCGGGTGGCTGCCGAGCCCGTCACCGCTCGCGGGGGATTCCTGGGCAGCGGACAGCCGCAGGTTCGGCTTGCAGAAATGATTGATGACTATTTTCAGGGCGTTCCCACTGCCGCCGGCGTCGGTGTAGAGCCGCTCCATCATCGTACATGCCTCCTGGAGCTGGTACATCCCCCCAGACCGGGCGTCGACTCCCAGATCGAATGTGAGGCCGTGAGTTCCCAGCCATTGCAGTCCGCTGATGAACTCCTCCTCCAGCATCACCCCGGCGGGCTTATCCTGGACGAGATACCGGAACCCCTTGATCAGAGGCCATTCTTTGTCGGCACGCTCTTGGACCTGTCGAACGTAGTTTGCAAGACCCTCTTTGCCGGCCTGCACCGGTGCCCACGGCACAATTCCCAAGACTAACTTGGCGTCTTCGGGCTGGTGACCTTCGCCTTCTCGAGGGTTGCCTCGGGCGATTCGGACCAAAAAGTCGACTTCTGCGAGGGCGTCCTGCCATTGAGTATCTGGGAGACCTGATTTGCGGTCTGTCTCGAGGAAGACGAAGCCTCGTAGTTCTTCAGAGTGGTCCTGTGTGGCGGCGCGGTACTCATCGAGCGAGTACTGTCTATTTAGCCGGTGGCTTTTGGCGAGATCGCGTGCCCAGTTCAGCGACGGGATGTGTGATGCTGCGTACAGGTGGATGTGCGAGTCTATTACGTATTTTGTGGCGCTGCTGACTAGATGAGAAGCCATATTTCTAGATTCGATATGGAGGCTGGTCTTATGAGCTTTTTGTTATACGTAACCACTGCCAACCTTGAGATGAGGGATGGGATGACCCTTTCAGATGGAGGAATGACATAGCCTATAATTTAAAACATTCAGCTTTTACCCAATCCACCCTGTTGATCTTTTTGGACAGAAGTTAGCTCGTGTGCCTTCGGTGTTTCGGGATAATGTTTGTAGAGGTTCATTCTATCATTGCGTTGGCACAGAACTTTGAGCGGCTCCTGTAAATGGGCCCTCATCAAGGTAGGCTCTCTGCTCTCGGCGCATTTTGTAAATGGGATATTAATCCCAAAACATGGGCTGATGCGAAACTTGACCTGGTGGTGTCACTAGTACTGGGTATTGTTGTGCCAGTCTTGGCAAGTTCTGTCAAATGTCAGTGTCATTTGAAACACTCCGCGGACGGGGGACGACAAGACCAAGGCGAGAAGGTCTTCAACTGAGGTGGCCTGACCATCTGCAGTTCTGTTGCCTTCACGATTCCATATTTTCCCTGCTATTCTGTGCCCGAAGAGTATATAACTCACGGTCGACTCTCTTGACATCGAAGAGAGTGATTTTACGTTGACAATGGTTACCCATATCCTATTTACCACTAGACAAAGTGCGCTTTGAAGCACAGTCTGAACGTGATGACGGCTCTGTTTCCCGCGACCATGGATCGTTCACAGACTCATCGTCTCCCGACTCCTCCTGCTTCTGCAGCCTCTCATGTCCCGAGCACTGCCTCGATAGGAACTCGAACGTCTGCCTTACCGACCCCGCGTTTGCACCGTCTGCAGCCTGGATCGCAGAAAGAGATTGCTTTGATTAACTACCTGGACGATCGCATTTTGAAGATCACGAGGAGATATGCCAAAAAGTTCAGTCATGAGGGGCCCGAGAAAGATGACACGCCAGGGTACACTACGTATGACCAGTTTGTGGTCGACGTTGATCCTCTGGTGGACGTTGTGTGGATAAGTGGCACGCCAACCATCCAAATCCCCTACCTCCTGTCTCTGGCTGGGCTTGCTTGTTCCTATCTCCAAGCTTTTCCCTTCTCTACCTCTGTGTTTGCTCTCACTAGCAAGATTGATCAGGGTTTTGCTACTCTGCTACAACCCCCGGAGAATGGCCCCTCGTCAGTTGCCATTCCCTACCACGTCTCCATGACTGACAAAGTTCGCATTAAGTCACTAATTGAAGAGACGCGTGTCGCCGCTGTGAATGCAGCTTCTGGCAGTGGTCACGATGCCAGGATACATGACCTTTCTGAGACGGAGACAGAGGATGATGAGAAGGACACAGAGGAAGACGATGAGGGCGAGGATCTACCGCAGAACATGTCCATATCTCTTGGACTGTCGCGGATATTCAAAAGAACATTGGAGATCCTGGGTGACTCGCTAGTTGCTGATGTCCCGCCTCAAGCACAAGACAATGATTGAGATGTTGTCGACTCGACAGAGCACTCCCAGCGAGAGGAGGGGAAGCTATGAGTTCGGGGATTCACAGATCCATGAACCCGGCACTTCCATCGTACCAATGACTTCTGTTTGTTCTGGAATCAGCGGCCGGTCTCAACCCTGGGAGCGACGACGCCGATGGCGCATCCAAAAGATGCAAGAAGACTTTGAGCACCTTCTCGATTTCTGCATATCGAACGGCAGGATATCACATTCTTCACCCTCTCAAGCTTCTTGTCCCTGCATGTAGGCCAATGTGAAGCTGGCGATGGTCTCTAGCTGCAGCTTTGGGCGGCCTCGAATGCTTCCGAGGCAACCAATCAGCCTTGGCCACGCTTGTCCGCCTTGCGCTCACCGACATCAGCCACACTGCACCAGGTACCAGGATTGCCAGGAACAGGAAACTCTATTGAATGGCCCGATTTTCAATTGATGCCCGAGAAGCTCTTGGGTCGCACAAATCAATTCACTGCGATGTCACAGGCCATGCAACTTAAATTTTTGCGAGTTTGGAGAGCTGGGCGGGCAGAGCTCCCCCGGCTTTGTCTCTTAACTCTGAAAGTCGACCTCCCACCCTACCACTTCGCATATCGCAGCACTTTCTAAATATCCAAGATGGGGTGGTTTACATTCGTCTTGTTCATTCAAACTGCGCTCAGCTTCGCGATCACACCACTGCCGCGACAAACCGAGGAACTACTCGTCCCGACGACAACACCGACAGAAATTGTTACTTCAATTGCCCCCACGACATTTTGGACAGCTACTTCAACTGCCACTCCAACTAGATCTCAGCTCCAATTATCGGCTCTCATCACCATTGCGCCCTTGTCAGTAAATCCTCTCGAAAAGCGACAGTGTTGTTGGAATGACCAAGGTTTTCGGGTGGATTGCGCCCAGTGGACCGGCTACTACTATACTTGGGGACCGCCAGGCGATCCCTATCAAGGAGGACCCCCGGGCTGTGGACAGTCTGGCGGTGGAGGAGGCTCTGGAAGTCCTGGAACCGTGGTTGTTTACCAGAATGGTGGAAACCAAATGGACCTTGCCAGTTGGTCCGCAATCTTGGGAACGCTTTGCCTTGTGCTTCTCATATTCATATGAAGCCTCTCGCTTTCTGGAAGAGCAGCTTGGAAGGTCGGAAAGTCGTCTCCGATCCTGTCGATCCTGTCGATCCTGTTCAATGTAAAGACATGGCTTCTGTGAAGCGTCAAACTAAATGTCACAAATTTTCAACAGCCGGATTAGTCCCTTTCGCAGTCGCCTTTCATATTCTTCACGATGAGATTGAGGTCCGATGGTCTTGTGAGCAACCACCATGATCTAGGAATCGGTTTATTCGTCACCAGCCGTGGCACATGCGCTGCGTTTGCGTCGGTGATGGGTGGTAGGTCAACCATATATGACCCCTTTTCTGTCCTCTGCTTTTGGCTTTTGGCTTATTCGGACCGTAATCTACTCACGAGGAACCAACAACCCCCTACATCGCAACTTACAAACTGCTTGGAATAAAACATAGAGATCTCTTCTGCAGCATCGTGCTGACTAGAGTCCACCCGGATATCCTCTTCGACTCTCGGCAAATTAACTTCCTACGGCAATCAACCCATGCTTCTGGTTAAACGAAACCAGTTGTGTCTGCAAAAATGCTCGAGTCCAATTTGCGCCTAACGGCTGCGAGGCTCTCCTTCCGAGCCATGCTTTGGGGGATGCTTCTTACCCTCAGTCAATCTTCCGATATGGAGGCGGGCAGTCTGAGCGACAATGCCGCTCGGGTTGTTCCTGTGGCTCCCCTGACCGGACCCGGTGTATCAACATTGACGGATCCAAACACCGTCTCCAGTCCGGTGACCCCTTCTTTTACGAGCGTATTCAGCTCAACACCTACCGTTGCTAATGGCTGGTGGTCCTCATTCTGGTCTGTAGACTCTACGTCATGGGATGGCGATGGGTTTGGGACCACTGATTTCGTTCTCACATTGTATCCGACCGATTCAACCACCACTGATTCTGCCGGGATGGTGAACCCCCGGCCTTCAACAACAGTCACAGGGACACTGTCTGCAAGTATTCCAAGTTCTACCTCCGTTGCCCATGGATCAGAGTCGCTCACTTCATCGGGGTCTATCGTCGTTTCGGCTCTTCCCTCCAACTCCATGTCACCCGATGCATCAGCTGTTGCCGAGTCGTTGTCATCTGATAAGACAACCACTACTACGCTCACAACACGAGTTAAGACCACATTGTATGTGACAAATGTCACCACGGCTCCCCGTTTGTCCGCTACGCCAGCAACTTCTATGCGGAGCTGGAGCGGTTGGACAATACCCATCCACAGTTTGAGCCGTTCCTGGCCAGCTTGGTTGAATTCCACTGCCTCACAAAGCATCTCGACTGCTCACAAAAGTACCGCGGACTCGCTTTCGACGGCCTCGAGTGCGGCCCCAGAATCTCTGCCTGAGGTCACAGTCACAGTCTATGTCACACCACCTTTGCCGACAAGACCGTCAACCGCGACACTTATCGTGACTGTATTAGCCACATCGACGAGGACAACTCTGGATAGCTGGACTACAGATTCAGATGTGGCTCTAACGTCGGGCTCGATGACCATCAGTCCCATCAGCCCCCACACGAGCGCCGTGTCCGTAGCCAGTGTTCATACGCCGTCATCCACCTTGTTGCCTGTCCGCAATGCTACAATTAGCCCCAATGTCGAATCGACTCTCTCTCTTCGGTTGCCCAGCAGAGTGTTCATGTCGACAGAGACAAACGGGGTGGTCTACTCATCCAGTGGCTATAAATCGGCGAACACCACCCACTACGTCAGCCTTCCGGAGCCCGTAACTACAACTTGCGTTCCGACGACTACAGTGACCTATTATAATGCGCGAGGAAGTCCTACTCAAACCATTCCCCAGTGTGAAACCGGTATCGGCCCTGATGTGACCCCGGGATTCGGGTCCGCAAGTCTACACGTACAAGTAGACAACACTGCGACACCGCATTTGACGACAACACCGTCCACTTCGCCACCAAATGCAAGCCCGTTGCCGACAGCCCCTGCTGCGTTGCCGGTGTCTCCTGAGAACCCTGCTCCCACACGAGTGACCACGAGCCTTGACAGCTCTCTAGCGTGCAGCCTTGTTTTCGGCAATTCCACGCCGCCAGGCTGCACCTTATCGCGAGCTATCACGAGCCACGCTCACGGAATTGTTCCCGGCAGTGAGACTCCTCCTTCCCGACTATGGCGAGACGGCAGTGAGCTTGAAATCGCTGAACGCGTTTCTTCTCGCACTACTGCAGTCAATCGAGATCGGGATGATCGACCGCGGCGAACTCTGGTTGTTAATAGGACCTTCCTGAGCGGCAGTGAGCCCGTTGGAGGACAGCGACCAAGCACCACACTGATCACCGTGCCTCGATCGAGCTAAGAGCTTATCTCCTGCGCCTTCCCACGTGAGATACGCGGCCACGACCGTATCTGAACGAGCTTTCTCGCTCCGTTTTCGCATGCGGGGACGAAGGCACCGTCTTCAACGAGGAAGAGCGGGACAAAGCGATGCCACGCCATGCCACGCGATACATCACGATCTGGGAGGGGACAGGATCTGACCGTGTCGGGGGACGTCCATGTATACGTACATAATAATTAACACCCCAGCTAGGCGTCGATGACTCGAAACAAGACGATCGGGGTCTCGACAATGAGTTGCTCCGATAGTTGCGCGCAAGCAGCGCCTGTGCACATATGCACCTCGCTTAGGCGATGGATTTGAGGAATCGTGCTGAGCCTTTGTAGATGGGCCGAGGAGGATGGACAGGACCGGACAGGGCATGGCTTGGCATGGCTATGCACCTGTCCCTGTCCCTGTATATGCACATGCGCTTGCCCTTGTTATGTACCTACGTTACGTGTCTGTAGCGCAAAAATGGGAATATCCCCCGTCCTTGGAGATTTCAGATCTCAAATCCCACATCTCATTTGATCCCATGCTGGCGTCACTACCTTCCTAACCTACCTACGAATCCTTTTGGTTGCGGTGTGCAAGCACTGACCGAAACATTGTGATGCTAGGGCTAGGGAGACTTAAGTTTTATCCTTGACATCAAAGGGGTGCCGCGACCCCGACAAAGCAGATGGTATATACATTTGTTTTTCTCTTAATTCATCCACTGTCAATATTGGACACAGCCGTTGTTCATTAGGCTAGGTAGCCAGCAATGTGGCCTCCGTGGTCGGTCGAGGATTGTACTTTCACACGACGTCATTTCCTCACCTCCAAAGGGCGAGAGAGAATACGCATCACCAGCACAAGCGACTCACTCTTGTTCTATTCCTGTAAGCCTGGTGCAACCGGTCTGGCTTCCTCAGTCGATCGAATCGATCTCGACCTCGAGCCATGGTCAGTCTTTCTTATGGTCGTCAGCGTCGTCGTTGGGCTGGAAATTGAGCTGGTTGCCGTTATAAAACTGCTGGTCTCTCTTCGCAGCCTCTTCGGCGCGTTGATCAGCCAGTGTGCGGATCCGGACGTTGTTCCCAGTCCCAGAACCACCAGCGCCCGGAGGATGATGATCCGCTTTCTCACTTCGACCGCCGGCAGCCGATATCTGTTCTGCATTCTCCGAGCCATACCCAAGCAGTGAGCGTACGCCTCCAAAGACCATCCCCGCCGCCCCGCTGACGAGATTATACCCTCCCGTCACCACTCCTCCGAGCAGTCCGCTTCCCATACCGCCGGAAGAATACGACTCAACGTATCCTGTTACCGGGACCATGACAAAGGTGCAACTCCCCACGATGCCTAGGTCGGAGAGCTCGGCCTCTTCTTCCCCCGCTTCAATTGTGCGATTGGGGAGGGGCGTCAGGATGAGCTTGAGATTGTATGGCACGCCGCTTGTCCTGTCGGGTGAAGAGGAAGAGCTGGCAGAGTCGATCCAGGGACGAATTTCTTTCGTGATGGTTGAGGTGGGAGGGAATGTGTTGCGCAAGGTTGACCCATCAAATGTGCGGACTTGCACCCTCACATCCGCCCGGGCATTCGTTCTTGATGTTTTTGATCTACCATACGAAGAGGAGGCTGAAGAAGTTGGATTCTCCTGCGTTTGACCATGCTTCTTCATCTCATCCATCAACCGCCTCTCCTCCCGATCCGCTTTGATTTGAGCTTTGATCCTTTCACGCTCCTCGCGTTGTTTCTGTTCGCGCTCTCGTTGCATTTTGATGTACTCTGCCCTTTGGGCTTTTTGTTTGGAGTCAATTTCCGCATTAGAGCTCGATGGTGGCGGAATGGGAGCTGGAGCTGGAGGTTCGGTGTGTGTTGACCGTGCTGATGAAGGGGAAGGCGACAATGTCGCGCGAGTCTGTGGAGGATAAACTCGTTCTCCTGCGGGCACGGGCACTTGTGGATTTGACGACGGTCGTGACGGCATAGATTGATACGATTCAGGGGAAGTAGTGGCTTGTGACGGAGTAAGGCCATCCTGCACCGGGATCCCGAGGGCAGCAGCTGGAAGCCGCAGAAGTCTTGATCTAGCATATTCCGACAGTTCTTTTATGTGTCGCAAGCGTCCCAATTCTGCGCGAAGGATGGGGATATTGCTAAGAAGCGCCAATTGGGTCTGAAAAATCTCTGCAGGAGAATTGCCGTCGTTTAGGAGCTTCTGGGTATGGTTTCGCAGGGCGTCGTAGGCATTGTTCGGATCCCCAGACGCGGGCTCAAGGTGGAGGTACTCGTCGGACTCGTCTTCAGGTTCAGATTGCTGGGGCCTATTGACAGATCAGCGTCGAACAGTGTCTGGGGCACCAGAGTTGCATACTCGGGCTGCTGAACAGACCCTCCGTCTCCATCTTGTTGGATGCCAAAAGCAGAGGCCAGGCGAGACTTCAGCTGCTCGGTCGATACGTCTGCGGACTGGAGATTTTCTTGGACCCGCGCATTCCTGCTCTTGTCAACATGTGGACTGCTTCTCCCAAATCATCTCCTACTTGATCACGATGATTGCAGGTGTGCTGTTAATGGGGCAGATTGAGGTGAGGAAGCCGGCTTCTGTAGAGTCCTTGTAGAGCAGAACCGCGACAGCTTGCGAGGTCACGGCCGGGGATATCTGCGCAATACCGTCAGCGATTTGAAGCAAGGGCCCGACGGAGATGGCTCACGGATGGATCCCTCAAGACTGCTTCCCATTCCGTGCTGGCTTGTGTACTGCGATCTGATCACGGTTAGAAACACTGGCCTGCGGTGTCAACATACGGCTTACCAGACACAAAGCACAGAACAGCCTTTCTTTCGCGAAGAGCCGTTTCTATGGCACTCTGCAAATCTCCATTGTAGAACATCGTGCAAGCAGGGCTTGTTGCGAGTAGCTCAGGTCTTGTGTCGGAAGCCAAAGTATTGGAATCTATATTTCCTATGGAGATGGCGCTACGAGCGTTCCGTATATTATGTTCCGCACTTGGAGACGTCATTAGAGATCATCAGCCCCGAGTACAAATTAATTGCAACTCTCCTACCCAGTTTGCCCAGCTTGCCCAGTACTCTTGTCAGCTTCCCAAAGCCTCATCTGCCAGCAGTATGTGCTTGCCACCTCACTACTTAGTCACATTGCTCGCTCCGTAATGCGCACTTTGTCAAGATGCATCACTGCTACACGAGTTTGCAGCTCTAGGCGCAGAGTCTTGCGAATCTCGTTGAATATCCCGCTTCCTGCGGTCCACCACACTCGGTCCTCGATGATGCCCCGACGGTGTGAGCCACGATATCGAATGAGTCCCAGGTTTCCCTTGGCTTGGTGCCTGATCCGCCACATGCACAGGAGCATATGGACTATCTTCGAACCCGTGCGGACACACTTGATTTCACACCTGAGTGGCATCGAGAACAATGAATGAGGCAGAGAGGTGAACACTGTCAAAACTGGGATGACTTGTCATTTGGAGAGGCCATAAGTGTGAAAAATTCAATCCTTGCGTGAGTAGCGAATTGTGGAAACGGACTCGCCAAGTGCCTGTGAATAAGGGAGAGTGGTATACACGATCCCGAGGACCCCGCCCTCGCCGTCAAGTATGCAAGTACAATGGTGCTTCCCGGGGAATCTTTCTAGGTATGTCACATGGTTCTAGGAGCCTTTCTGACGAAACAGAGATTGCCGCCTCTGAGAGACTCGAGCAAGGGCCAAGTGAGAGTGTCTGAGGAAGAACACGAAACAGGTCTAGAAACCCATCGAACAGGGAAGGATAGCAGAAGCTGCGATGCGAATATTTACGCACTGGGGTCTTCAGAGGTCTAGTGGCTAACTTCGCTTAGGTCCTTGCTCTCTTTTACAGCTCTGCTCATGGTTGCTGTGCTCATCGTGTCCATGGCCGGTCTCGCTTTTGCTGTTTTTCAGAGCTGCTTCAGAACCAGACATTGCAGGCAAGCGAAAAACAGCGTTGCTGTGCGGGAATCAACAGGTCGAGTAAGAGAGGGTCCTAGAAAGCCCAGAGGTATCAAAACTGAACGAGGTATAGGGTGCTCGGTACTCCGCACGTATCTCAACACCAATGGCGACTCCCTACCTACCCTCGCTACAGGGTACCCAGTACTAGGTACCGCGTCCATACCAATAGGCGCCTAGGTAGGTGGAGACTCGCTATATCCGAAAGTTAATTATCAAAGCCCAGACAAATCCGTATTGGCGCTACCATTCGCACAGACCTCAATTTGAAGGTCTATCATAGATATTATACAACCTGATGAGGCTGTCTGCATATTGCCTGGTTGCAGCGCTCTCCCTCCTGGTGGTCGTGCGGTACGCGCCATGGGCACGTACCGTACCCGAACGGCTAAGTGGCTCACCCCCCCAACCAACAGCCTCACCAGTCCGAAAGGCGACGACTGAGGGCCTTGTGCTGGCCCCCTTTTGAGCCAATTGCAGTTTCTGTGGCTGGCCTTCCAGGCCATCGCTGAAACACACTCTTTGAGCCTCATCCTGGTGTCAGTGTCACACGAACTTGAAGGGCGGACGGTAAATGCAAAGTACTGGAATCTGGCATCCCGAGCACCCACGATTCTCTCCTGGCTGATAAAGGTTCCAATTCCCATCCCATGACTCACTTCTCTGCTTTTACCTCTAACCCACTCCCAATATCTTGTTGTCTTTTGTCCGAGCAACCTCCATGGCCTCTGGATCCTCTGGAGGGCGCATTTTGCGCCAGGGCACCGCCACTTCACACAGACCGCCGTTGTGATCCAATCTTGGGTCATAGGATCTGCGCCTGCTGTACCACGGCAAGACCACTTCACGCCTGGTAGTTACCATATCTACAATTTGGCCTGGTCCGACCTGAAAGCTTGGTTGGAAAGAAAATTTGCTATTGAAAAGCCTGCTCGAGAAGAGGTATGCCTCCGACACCATGGCGCCCTGGGGGCCACAAGGGGGAAATGCAGCGGATGTGCTTACTGAACCCGGAACAGATTAGGAAGGATGCTTATGTGTTTAACATTCCTCGGAAACTCAGCAATGTAAGTCTAGGCATCTATGCTCTACCACTGCTGCAGCGAGTACTCATTGCCTCTTGCAGGACGACAGGACGAGAATAGTAATGCGAGATGAAATCCACCGCCCGCAGGGAAATGGCTGCTGCCGCCGCAAACGCTCTCAACAACTCGAACACCCAAGCCGCCTACAACGCTCGAGGACGTGTGAGATCGCCAGAGCGTCAAAGGCGCTATTAACCGACAGTGTCTGTGCCAGTACGATTCTGCTGGCAGGTTTGGCTTTCTTGAATGGTTCCACATGTTACAATGCATGGAATTCTATGGAATACCTATCGGGGCACGCGATTTGGAGGGGGTGATCCCGTTTATGTATTTGCCCTGGATGCCTATGCAAGAACAGCCATGCGCTGTCCCAGGCGTTTTCCACTGCCCATTTCCACTCTCCAAGCCTCGATTGGTGGCAGTGATTTGGACTATGTACCGGGACAGCGCTTGACCGAGCCACAATTTTGAAGAGGAGGTTTCCGTGAACTTCTTTGAGAGAGTAGTATCGTGACTCCGTACACGTTGTTTCTGAATCACTCGTAAATTGTCTTCGCTGTTTGATGACATTGTACAACAATGACGAATCTAAGTCCGCAGCTTTTCCTAGACACCATTCTGCAATTATGTATCATGCATATCCGCCACTGCCTGGAGCGGTAAATACAGGAACATTCCCAATGGGAGCAACACCCGTCTTTCGTCAACGAAGAATTTTTCCTCGATAGGCAACCATAAACCACATATTACGCCGTCCTTCGGGGTATCCCTCGCAAATCATAAGCTCGTGTCGTGATCACTATCGTTTACTCCAGTTTCGTATCCAACCCATCCTATGGCGAAAAAGAAGTGGTAGCGGCTGCCTTCCGTCTTTGTGCGGTTGTCAAAGCGCAAGCTGATGGGGGGTGCGGTCGTCAATCTGGCGTACCGGGGTCCATGGACGAGTAGACGCTCTAGCGCCGAAGGTGTTCGCGACCGAGCTGAAGCATTCATGGTGATCTGCTTTGGGGGCTGCTCTGTATTTCATGCTCGGAGACCATGATGGACGGGGCCGGCGGCGAGCTCGCTGACAGAGTGCTAAGTTCGTCATATTCTGCAACAAAGCTGCCTATAAGCATCTTATAAACATCAACCAGAGACGTTACTGTGTCAATAATATCCCTAAGATCGTTAGCCTGTAACCTGGAAATGAAGTTACGATAGACTCACGGGGCCCTTCACGTTCGAACTGCAGCTCGTTATCCAGGTATCCCAGGCGCAGAGTCGCTTCGGGATCGTCCCCGAACTGAACAATCTGGATGCCCATTGAACGGCTTTGGATATTATTGCGATCCAACCCTTGCCACTCATTCACAAAGTCTTTGATGACTTCCGAAGCTTTGTTGTGTTCCCACTTGCCGTCGGTAAGGACGATAATAGTTTGCTTTCCGGCCTTATTAACGCCCACGTCCTGAAGGTGCTTGATGTACTTGTCAAGCAAAAACCCCAGGATCAAGCTCATATCTGTCTTGACTTCAGGAATAGGCTTCGAGTCGGCGACTTTCATTGCTTTCTTAAACTCGGTCGCATCGTTTTTGCCGTCGACGTTTGCAAATGTAGGTGCTCTTACGAGCTCGCCATGAGCTCCTTCCGAAGTCCAATGGCTCGAGGGACCAACTCACTATATCACGATGTTCAAAATATTCCGCTAGGAATGGGTCCTTTTTGCGATTGGAGGACACTTTTTCCAGGATTTTGATGGCCATGCTTTTATGTTCTGCGAGTTCCTCCAATTCATGGCGGGCTTGAAACACATCATGCGGCTTACGTTGGTTCGTTGATATACGCTTGAGTGGTGCGCTTGACTGACGTAACTCGTTGCTCGCACCTCTGCCGCCCGGTACAGAAGCTCCGACCTGGCCTGTCGAAGAATGCTTTAGGCGAGACTAGCCATTCCGGTTGGCGCCAGAATCAGCCGAGAGGCGATGTTGGGAAGCACTTGTCTCCGGCTGGTCGCGAGAGGTTGAGGGCGCTATGAAGGATCGCGCGCCAGGGGCACCAAAGTATCCCGACCTCATTCGTGCCATGTGCACATTGTACGACTTCCGCATATCTCTGGCTGCGAGACCTTGGATAGGACCCTCCTTTTGGTGGCTGCTGGGTTCTAGAACACCTTGAGTGTGGAGTTGCTCATTTTGGGTCTGCAGTTGATTCAAGGCTTTTTGCACATCAGGAAGCGCGCCGAAATTGGGGTTCTTGGGACAAGACTCAAGGATAGATGTCAATCTGGTTCACAAGTCACTAGCGCTGAGCCGCCGGCTAGGGCTGCCCTGCGGCATGCTATCGGTGACCAAGTCAAGAACCTGCTCTGTTACGCTGTCTGTCTTCCTGATGTACTGGCGGACGGCACTATGCCAATGCCGGACAGCCTTTAGCACATTCGATCCATCATGAAAATAGTCACCTTTGGGCCGCTTTTCATCGCCTAGCTGGTTGGAGCGATCTGGTTGGCTGGGATGATCTGGCTGGCTGGGGGTCTCTTGGCCTGTTGAACGCTCGAGATAACCTTGATCGCATCTTCGCGGAGTCTTTCATACACGAGGATACCTTTGTAGCCAAGTGCGACCCATGTAGCGGCTATTGAGAAAACACACCCAAACGACCAGATATCGATTGACTGAGAGACAGGATCTGGTGCTTTACTTTTTGGGCTGCGCTCCAACTCAGGTGCACCTGTTACCAGATCAGCGAGAGGCCATATGGGAGGCTATTCACGGACCGTAAGTTGAGGTACCACCTGAAAGGTAGGTAGTGTTGTTGGGTTTCTTCAGTACAAACTTCGCAAATCCCGGGTGCTGAGCCTGAAACTCGATTGCACTCGAAGTATGTTGTCTGGCTTAATGTCGGCAGGCCACCTAATTGTTCAGCATTCAGAGAATGAAACCTGATTCTTGGTGCGCAAGACTTACCCATTAAACTCTCGTCCAGTACTCTTCTCCTTGAAATTGTGTATCCTCCGAAGTGCTTCAGCCACACCAAACAGCTATCTCCAGAAAATCCTTACTTCGGATCCCAAGACAGGTGGCTCGCGTTCAGCAAAAAAGCTCTCCAGATCGGTCTCACCCCATTCCAAAAGGATGTTGGTGGTCATTCTGCCAACACACTCCCCTGGAGCAGCTGCCATGCTTGTCGTAGTCCCATCATCTGTAATGATTTCGCTTGTACCGAACGTGCTTGAGCCTTTTTCTTGCTTGGGTTGACAGCTCGGGTCGCATGGGTGCGAGAAATCCCCTAGATGTCTGATCATTCCGTCATGTTCCCGTAGGGCCATAAAAACATCACATTCCCATTTGAAGAATTCAGTATTGCCGTCTCGAAAGGTCTTGAGCGGGCTAACAAACTCCTCCTGTACGGCTATCTGCCATAAAAGGGCCGTTCCTCCCTTCTTACTGAGTACTCCTCTTCCGCAGATGGGTACGATTTCCTTTGTACATTTGGATGTACTTGACCAATCGAACGTGATAGGATAGAAGGCCCACTGGCGCTCGTCGAACTTGATGGCCAGGAGAGTCGCGTTATCGATCGACCCATGTTTCAATTCGTTTTCGAGCTCAAAGAGCGATGCGGTCGATATTGGCAGTTTGGTATCCGTGAGGCTCCGGCGTTGAAAGTCCCGAATCAGGTTCGGCGCACCAATGTCGTACAGGATGCCTCAACACCAGAAGACATTCACGGCCAGGTGCATTTATGTCGTTGAGAGACAATGAGCCGGCGTTGTACCCTTGACTGGCTGCGTAGAGGCACAGATCGGCCCGTGTTGTGTCTGTCTTTGATGAAGACTTCTCTTTCAGCCAACTCCGCAACTTCTCGACCTGTATGTAGGGACGACCGCAACCAGAACATTCGTAGCATTGAGGCGTGGTTCGAATAGAGTCGCAGGAGCTTCACAAACAACGGTGCAATTCCAATTGCTAGCCATACTGAGAGTGATGCTATTCAGCAACGAATGAAGCAACGGGTAAGACATTGAGAGTGTTGCGCAAGATGGAAGAAAAAGCTGCTGCCGAAGAGACTTGTACTCGCAGCAAGGCGAAAGGTCTTTGCGCCTCCCCATGAATGAGCCCAGTCCTACATCCAGGCCTGACCCTAGTTAGCAAGCAACGGGGATAAGTGCTCCCGCCTATTACTCGTTCTACCTGGCTAAGGTGGATCGTGATCGTTGCGAGCCCTAGCGAACACAGTAGGGTGCTTGCATTGGCACTTACCATTCAAGGCAAGGCACACACGTGCGGCTGAACGGGCACTTGGACCTTTTGCTGATGAGCCTTCGAGAAAGCGAGCAGCAGCGAGACTCTGCAGAGACATGCAACAACTTGTAAACGCCGTCTAGTCGTTCCAAAATAAATATAAGAGCATGTCTTCCAGAGAGTATCGTGAATATATGCTGATCATCTAGTAAGACTGATGAGCCGGAGATCATTCTGGATGATTTCCCACCTACCTGGGTATTAGCTCAGTGGTAGGGATATATACCAACCAGGCTTTGGGTTCTGGCAACCAAGTGTTGGGCATTAAAGGCTAGTGAGGCTACTCAGCGCACCAGGCGAGACCGGGCTAGGGGGGCACACTAGCCCACTCGAGCGAGCCGGGCGGGGGACGGCACCAGCGGCATTACCCTTGTCCTAGTCTGGGGGTGAGCTGCGACCAGATTTTACTCTGGGTAGGTATTCAGTTCCTCGTAATGGGCTTTTATTCGTTCATCCTGTTCCCCTGAGGAGAAGACATGGCAAAATATGACCTGAAGGTCCTCCGGTCACTCCTGTCGCGCTCTAGTGCACCTTCTCGTCCTTTCAACAGGACCCAGTCCCGTCGTCTCGCAACCGAGAAGACCTCAACTCCAGCCAACAACACTGAGGACTTTGTCTCAATTGTTGATGCCCCTCCACGTCTCGTGCGTATCGGCCAGAAGCACAATAAGCTCGGCATCGTCATCCTCTCACTGATCCCTATCACCGCCTTCGCTCTTGGAACCTGGCAAATCCAACGTTTAGATTGGAAGACCAAGCTCATCGCCAAATACGAAGACCGTCTTGTGCGGCCACCTCTACCCCTACCACCGAGAATTGACCCCGAAGCAATCCATGAATTTGACTATAGAAGAGTGTATGCCACGGGGCGGTTTAGGCATGATCAAGAGATGCTCATCGGGCCGAGGACGCAGGATGGAAAGGACGGGTTCATGGTCGTGACTCCTCTAGAACGAGAGGGAGGGAGTACCATCTTGGTGAACAGGGGGTGGATCAGCAAAGAGAAGAGATTTCAGGTCGACAGAGATCCTGAAAGTTTGCCCAGGGTCGAGGTTACGGTCTCAGGACTGCTCCGAGAACCCTGGAAGAAGAATTTCTTCACACCTAAAAACCAGCCCGACATGGGCAAGTTCTATTTTCCCGATGTTAATGAGATGGCTCAAGTTGTGGGCGCCGAACCTGTTTGGATCGAAGAGACCATGACTCCAGACTTGTTGGTTAGCTACTCTCGAGAGGCCAAGGGGATTCCGATTGGGAGAGCACCAGAAGTGAATCTGAGGAACAACCATTTGCAATATATCTTTACATGGTGAGTTTGTATACTAGGATCAACCGTATCGTGTCTCATTAATCCATCAGGTACTCATTATCCGCCGCCACAACGCTCATGATGTGGATGCTGCTAAAGAAGAAACCAATTGACAGAGCTCGCCGGGTCCGTCATGTTACCAAATGGTAAATTCCCAACAATGATCAGAGATCCGACGACTCATCGAGATCCAACCCCGCCACAATGTCATTGGGAAGCAATTCTTTGGCAGCTTTCAGAAGCTCCCCGTCATTCTGGAGCAGTCGCTGCCGGTGCATCAACACCAGCACGTCGCTCTGGTCGATGCGTTTCCTGCGCGCGTGGGTTGAGTAAGCCTCCAGATCTTCGCCAACTTGCTCGAAATACCATTCAGTCGCCTGTTCGAGGGCTTGCATGTGGTCCCTTCCGAGTTTGGGTCGACGATTGCCGAGGCGGGCTTGTGCTTCGACGGCTACCCGTCTAATCAGGCTTGAAGGCAAAGATGGTAACATCTCGCCATGGCGGGTAAGCTTTAGTCTCTTCCGACGGGGCTGCGGGGGTACTGGTCTCGGCATCTCTTCACTCCCAGAGCCCTGTTCGGACGGCTGTCCAGCTTGAGGCTCAGCTTCTTGCTCGGGAGCCTCTTCCCCCCGATGTTGATCAACCGTCGATGGTGACGCTTCGACGAGCCTTGCTTCTCGAGCACGTTGAGCGTAATTGGAAACTGTTTCCACGTCGGGATCAGGCAATTGAAAGTTTGAGTCGTCCAATGTTGGGATATGTATATCGCTCTCGTCAGGTCGTGCCGGGGATGTGGAGCTCTGAAGATTCTGGAGGCTCTGCAAGGCCTCAGTCTCCCCTCCTCCGTCTTTCAGGGCTATGTAATCTGGGCCGAGCTCTACAAGATCGTTCGGCATTTTCTCCAGACCTTCGGGCAGATCCTGATTGTGCGACTCTCTTCTGATCTCGAGCTCTGAATGGAAACCATCCATGTCGATGACCCCAAAGTCGTAACGCGATATGTTTTCTGTCTGCTCAACTGTTTCGGCTCTTCTACCTCTCTCGGACAGGAATGTTGATTCTTCGTCTCCGCCATTAAAGCTGACCTGTCCGATAGGGTCTGACGCGGGAAAGGAACGCCTTGACAGCCGCCGGCTATCGTCAGGCGAATGGGCCTGCGTTCTATAGTCAATTGACCTGAGTGTAAACGTTGGGTTGTCATTTTGCCCCTCGCGCAGTCCATCGTCGTCATCTGGTAGGACCGAAGGCGTTGGAGCCGGCAGGAGCTCACTGTCCTCGTCATCATATTCCGTAGGTCGCAGCACCTCAATGCTCTCTAGGCTGTCTTCAACATCCAAAGCCAGGCGTGGTCTCTTGAAATTCTGCCCTTCATCGTCTTCATCCCCGTGCCTTCCCTCCGCCGGCACTTTGTTTTCCTTCCCTCTCCCACTTCCAGGTGTCGGTGCAACTTTTCTGGTAGCGGGCGCAGTAATCTTAGCCAGTTGCCTCAATATGCCTCTAGCTGAATGGGGCCGGATGGTGTCGCTGAATGCTCTCCTGCGCGCCGAGCGCGTCTTTGCGCCGCTTCGCTGTTGAAGAGCGCGGAGTGCATGGGGGGTTGAAGGCGCATATCGGGTAGGAGTTTGTGAGAGTTGAGTCTCAATCAAGGCATGTGGCCGAGAGGACATGTTGGAATAACTGAAGCTAGAAAAGGTCTGAGTAGTGTTATTCTCGCATGCAATGGGGGAATCGAGGCCTTTGGAAGACGCGTCTTGGTCGATAACTGAATGGCACGAAAACACGTGACTAGACTATAAATTGGTCCTCATCTTACAGTTTAATAACTGGGTTCCGCCAAGGCTCATTCCTACCCTTGCTCTGTAAGTTCGATATGATGGGCTAATAAGCCACTGAGTGATTCTTCTATGCCTTGTACGTGTTCGTTGTTGTCTTCTCTTCCTCGCACAAAATCGCCCTTGCGGCCATGGGTCAACCGCAAGCTTGGAATAAGCTGGAATCCCCTGCAACATGTTACCACTCAGGCCACAGCTCCAGAGTTCGCTCAACAGCTCGACGGCATGAAAAGCCGCCACATGCCGACTGATGAAGGTCTCTGGGACAGCTTCAATATCCGCGCGCTACGGAAAACTCTCCAGAGCCACCTCTCTCTTTCGGACCTTCGACCAGCAAATGTTGTCCCTCCTGGTTATCATCAAGTGTCATTCAACAAACTACCTTATGAGCATGAGCTAGGCCACGACGGTGCTGAAAAGCGCCACGCGCCCAACGATGAGTGGAAGTATCGGGTCTGGGCTGGAGGTTACATGGAATTCCAGATCCCTAATATATGGACCGACCGGCCCAAAATCGTCGCGGTCAATGAAAGGATCACAGACACTCGACTGGTCGGAGATCTTGCCAGTGAAAACGCGAAAGTCTTCGTTACGTTAACGAGGACTCTCTTTCCCGCCATGGTGGACGCCCAAGGGAAGCCTGTGCGCAGGAGGCTGGGAGGCCTTCGCGCCACGAACCGAAAAGACAACATCGTGCTCAAAGAAGAGAAATACCTCTGCTTCATGCGAGAAATCCCAGACAGTCTCAAATCGACGGCTTCGCCTCGCCGTAAGCTACCGCCTCCTTCTAACCCGGTCTATTCCCAAAGTATGGTCCCTTCACCAACGCTGCTCTTTAGATTCAGCGCACTGTCGAGAAACGCCCACGCCATACATCTCGACGCAGAATATACCCGACTGGTCTACAACCTCCCAAAACTCATCGTGCACGGCCCGCTCACCTCTGTCCTAATGCTGGATATCCTTGGAGAAGCGCTCGCTCTCTACACCGCTGGGAAACCGTACATCTTTGCCGTTCGGACATTCCAGTACAAGAATCTTCTGCCGCTTTTTGTGAATGAACAGATCACAATTGCTTGCAAGAAGTTGCACGACATTCAGCCGCAAGGGACGAAATTTAAGTCCGCGTTTGGTGGAGTGATGTGGGAGAAATGGGAGGTCTGGGTCCAGAAAGGAGTAGGCGAAGATGCGACCGTGGCGGTTCGAGGGTCGGCTTGGGTTTCGCCAGTAGCGCATCGCGGTACAGAGGCTTCGTCGGAAGCTGCCGCGGAAGCGTTGGGTCCGTCGAACGTGGATACTCAAAATCCAGATTTAAATGGGGAGGGGAGAGAAAAAGAAGAACAGGCTGCGAAGGCTTCGTCGGATTGAGACGGTCCTTGAGGCTGGGTCGGGCTGAAAGAATCACCGACCCTGAAACGGTCGTACATTGCACTGAAGAAAATGAGGAAGACGAATTGAACGATCGGAGGCGGACCGCGATGTTTCGGGAGACGGAAACAGATTCCCTCAATAGCTCTTGTGGCTATCCTGAAATATAGACGGTTGTTGTATCTGTCTAGGTTGCCGCCACGCTATAGTGACAAATTGGGTGGCTTATCAAGCAATTTTCTGAACACATAATCCCAAAAAGCTGAGCCGCCGGATATCACCCCATGCATTTTGTTTCCCCCCGAGATGTGCCATAATACGATACCCTTACTCCCATTGTCGATTTCGATGCCAATGTCGGCGGGCTGTGCTCCCAACCTTGCTCGTTCAAGAAATGTAATCCGAATGGGAAGCCAAAATCGCAACAGAGAGCTTATACGTGCTTCCACCCATTCCAGATCAGAATATGCTGCTCATCAATGACACATAATCCCCCAGTCTCTTCTCTCCTCTCCAGAGAATTCTCTCCTTCCTTGACCCACCTTTCCATCTTCTTTTGAACTTGTTTCATACTTTTCGTCTCACGCGGCAAGATTTTTCTTCTAAGACGATTTGTCCACACTCCAGTCAGGTATTGCGTCGCAGAAACGAAGTTTTCGTCGGGACCCGAATGAGTGGTGGTGTAGGCTTCCACAGTATATCCAACACGTACCGACGGGTTGACATAGATCCGATCAGCGGAGCCCGGAGAAGTGAGGTTCATGTCTGTGTGAATGAGACAGCATTCACTCGCTTCGAGGTGCTTGCTGGCGAGACTATCGCTCAGCGCACGGAACTGGAGTCCGTCGTAGAAAGGCGTGCTGTCCATCACAATCATCCCATTCCAGCATGATGTGACTTTTGTGGGGAGGCCCTTGAGCATGGACTCGCGAGACTCTTGAGAGCGAAAGTAGGGGAAGATAGTCTGTATTGTAGCCAGCTTTTCAGAGTCCCGTAGCGCAAAGGTATCGTAATAAGCTGGCGGCAAATGAAAATCGAGGGCACATGCGGCGGAGAAGGAGCCTTGGTTCGTGGCCAAGAGTGTGAGGACGTCCTGCGGGCGGAAGACGACATCATTGAGAAAAAGGATCTTGTCGAACCTTTGTCCATGTTCATCACGAAGTCTGAAAAGGGGATTTAGAGAGGTATTCCGCAAGCGAGCCAGGTAGGGAATCCTCCGCATCTCTTTGCCCCATTGAGTTCCCACACTCGTGGTCTGGATCCATCCCTGTCGAGGGTTTCCCTGATGATCGAGCGGACCAGCGTTGATTTCGTCTGCATGTGTGGTGGGATCCAATACCGTCTGATGAGGGATGTTATTCTGCCCCAACACATCGTCCAGCATTTTCAAGACGTCCTTTGTGTCGTCTAGACTCCCTGATTCATAGATGCTCACGTAGATATTCTCCTTTCCCAACACTCCCACCAGATCGAGAAGAGCTTGACCCCATCGCTCGGAGATGACGCGTGCGTTGGTCCAGAATTGCGCAACGATGAAGATCTTTTGATTTTGTACCGGCGTCGGGAGTACAGCCGGGGACGTATATGTGTGGGTGAGTAGGTTACGGGTGAATTCGCGGTAGTGTTTGAGGATAGTGAGTAGGTCAAGGACAAAGAAGGCGACAAGGGCATAGAGCAGAAACCGGAGGAGACGGCGTTGGAGGGAGGAACGTCGGTACGATCGCAGTAACATGACCACGGCTGGGGAAGAGGGCCATCTGTTTGGGAGTTGAGAGCATCGTGGAAGGGCGAGAGACTAGGCTTTGAAGACACTGTCCGGGGCCGTTTGACATGTCTTGGTTCTTGCTCAAACTGAAGGAAGATGTGGGCTGAGGCTGATGAAAAAGGAGTCGGAGCGGAAAAGCTTTGAGCCGAAGTTAAGTTACCTCCTTGCTTGATCACCTAAAAGGGAACTTTATATACTTGCGGCCTCATCGCACCATGATGCAAGTGCTGAAACTCCGGACATGTCTTTCTCCTTGCATTGGACGACTCTCTCCTGGTTCTGTACCTCTTTGGGAGTTGCGAAGAATGTAACAAGACCAATTTCATAGTACCCAAGGCGCCATTTCGACGTTGACAGGTTCATGGCTCAGGGGAAGGGACTCTATCTTCTTGTCGCTTTCCTGCAAACATGTCTTGTTTTTGACCTTATGAGGACGGTTCTCGGCAATTCAGGCGTTACTGTTTAGATTGATGACTTTGTGGGGCCCCTGGAAGATGGCCAAGATGATGAAAGCCTCCACAGTCTGGATGATGGCGATGATCTTAAAGAGCAAGTTCTTTTCGTGGACGTCACCAATCTGTCGTTGTACGCTCTGCACTGGATTGCGAAAGAATGCTATACCGACGGCAATACACGAGAAGAACACCTGTGGGCAGAAAATGCTGCTTGCTTTTCCCAGGCAAATACCGTCGTTAACAAGCTTATAGCCTGGCGGAGGGAGTACTACAAGCTTGAAGACAACATTGACGACGAGCCGCACATATTGGACACTGTGATCTTGTCCGTCGTTCTTCGGAGTGAATATCTATTCGACGCCTGTAGGAGGATTTTAATGCCGATACGCGGAACTTCGAGTGGGAATTGGACAGTGCACTATGATGGCGCTTGCTGCGAGCTGGCTGGTGTCCCGGCGAGGGAGGTTCACATTCTTTTGTCTTGAATATCTTCTGCATACGCCTCAGTCGGCCCTAGAAGAACTACTAATCGATCATTATATCGCCGTTCTGCAAAAAGAAAATAATTTACTCCACGAGGTTGTATATCCTAGGCAGCTTTGGTAGGCATTGTTCGACAAAGGACCATTCTCACTGCTCGGAGGATGTGTGTGTTGCTAACCACATTGACGAGGCAATTTACAAGACCAAACATGTCTTTGCAAATTGTTCCTGCGTTCACGACGGCGAAGAGACTGAAACATCTGCTATGATAGCAGACATCCTTCGGTCTGGCTCGATCCCAGTCATCACAGCACCTCCTGCAGATGCTGCCTTAAATAGCGACTTTGTCATATCGGTTCCGGAATCCACTCGAGTGCCTTATGTCACATCTCTCACGTCTGGTCCGATGGTTTGCGCAACCCTAACAACAGCTCTCTTCCGCAATGCCAACTTCGTCAGCTGCAACACAATGTCAACATCCTCTATTCTGAATCGTCTTGTCCGATTCCACTTTGGATCGACAACATTTGTGTCCCGCGACAGGCTGATCTTCGGAAAACGGCAATCTGGCGGATGGCGCAGACGTACAGATCGGCTGACCAAGTTCTCGTCATTAACGGATGGCTAATGCTGACAAGGTTTTGTAGGATTCCCAGCCCAGATTAGGGTGGTTTCTGGCCGAAGTTTGCCACAAAAAAAAAAAAAAAAAAAAAAAAACAATGGTGCGTAGGATAGCAATGGCCGCGAGCTGGCAAGGGCCTGCC